GAAAAGTATACTAAGTTAAAGACTCTCATGCATTTGTTGTTATCTATAGAATAAGAAGAGACGTAGCAATGACGGTAAGAAGACACCTAAATTATTCTTTTTATATAATTTTGTTACGGTTGATAGAGCAGCATTATTAACAAACAGGCAATGCGATGACTAAGAAAGAAAAAAACTACCTAATAATATTCAATCAGAAATCGTAAAAGTACATTTTCTTTTATCTTATTTATGCATGTACGTTCGCTTATGAGTAATCGACGTTCGATATTTGATCCAAAAAAAAAATAAGAAAAAAAATCAGTAACAGAAAGAATGAGAAAAGAATATAAAAATAAAAAACAAAGCGCATATTACTGGTAGTGACAATCAATACCTGCTGGTCTGATGAGTCATCCTATCGAAATAATATTCTAGAAAAATTTTTTGATCGTGATTAAAAAACTAAATACTAATATGTTTAATATCTATTATTTTTTTATGTTTTAATATGAAAAAAATGAATTGAAAACATAACCATAGAGGACGTTAGTATATAGAGAATAGTTTACTTCTATATACCTGCGATATATATATTGTATTTAATTTCCGTTAAAGTCGTAAAAAATAAGAAAAGTTTAAAAATAGAATGACTGTTTGAGTTTCATTATCTTCACTTACTTACTGAAAAAGAAATAAAATGATAGATTAATTTCATCTTATATTACTGTTTTGTCCGTCTCCTAAGGGACAGATGTGACCATGTGCGCGTTTTGCACCTGTTTTAATTTGATTTATTGTTTTGAGAGTCATATTCGTTGATTAAATACAATAAAACAACAGATGAATAAAGAAAAACAAATCGATGATAAAAGGTAAAAGAATAGCAATGTAATTCTATCGAGGAGAAGAAAAAAAAGAAAGAATAGGTTTTCTTTTCACATCAATTCCACTGATTGCTAACCAGTTGTTCATTATTTTAAGAGTGAGAGAAAAGAAATTAGTTGTTTCACATTACACGTCAGCAAAGTAAAAAGCAAACAATGATTCATTGTTAAGAAAGTAGAACAATAAAATTTGCAGTTTTTAAAATAATATATTTCTTCAAATGATAAGTCAATGTTATTCGAAAGAAAGATATTCTTTAAGTGATATGATGTTTTTTATTTTATATTTATTTATAATTAATATAAGACAAAAACAGTTATAAATGTAAAGTGTGTCAAAAAAAAACGACGACATTCATTTAATGATAAAAATGTGCTCTACTTTTAATTAAAGAATAAGATTATCTGAATAACATTTAAAAAATAATAATAATAATAGAATTCTTTCAGACTAATTGGTTATATTAGATAAAAGATAAGTAATGAGATGCAAAAGTAACCAACAATTGCAATCAATGCAATTAGTTGAATTCGTCTTTCTCCATTAGGCACTCGACTTGTAATAAATTCTGGCATTTCACATAAAAACATAGCTACTAATATTCCCATCAATGCACCACCACCATGTGCAGCATGATCAATACGACCAGAAAAATCCACATCGAGAAATACACTCATTATAAAATATGGAATAACCAATAGCATAATTAAAAATTGTATAATTTTGTCTTGTAAATTTTTTATTGTAAATATACGCAAAGTATTATCAATGATACAAAAGAATAATAAACCATAAACAGCACCAGATGCGCCCACAGATACTAAAAATATATCAAAATATAAATGATATATTATCGTTATTACATACCATTTTTTGGTGCAATCAAAGCACTCATTACATTTCCACTGAACCCAAATAATATATAACATATAGCAAATGTTTTTGTACCATATTTTCTTTCCAGTAAAGATCCAACTAATGCTTGATAAACAAGATTATTTAAAAGATGAGTTACACCACCATGAAGAAACATTGGTGTAAAAAATCGATAAATTTGATAAGGAAATAGAAATGCATAACATTGAGATTTATATCCGGAACTACTCGCAACTCGTTTCATACAAGGCACATATTTTCCACCCATTTTAATCCATGTATCTGATGTTAAATGTGTTCCTCGTTGTACAATATACATGATTATAAGCATAATAACGTCAAATAATCCAATACCAACAGTAAATAGTGGACGATGCGGTTCAGCTGATGATGATATTACATTGACAGATGGATCATGTCGATTGGCGTCTATAATTACATCTCCATTGAATGTATATGTTCTAGATGCATATGGTGGAGCCGGTGCATTTGAAGTTCTATTTGATGTCGATGATCTATTTGTTGATTCGAATCCATCTCTGATTTTTGCCCAGGCAGTTTTAGTAAATGCCGCCATTTCAATAAATGATATTCTAAAAAAAAGAGAAATACGTATTTTTTTTTCAAATTTTATTGAATTAAGAATAACAATAAAAGAACAGATTGTCATAATATTAATAAATAGAAAAAGTCTAATAATAATGCTATATAAATGTCATCATTAATTGTTCTCGTACTTGACAATCATGATGTTTCCGTCGATGAACGATAAGTATGTAAATATCATCGACAATGATTAAATGAAAATAATATATATATAATTTTATAGTTCTCTATTAAATATATCTTTTCTCTATCTAAAGTAAGTACGTCATCTTTGAATGATAAAATAATAGTTATATTGGACTTTTAATAGGAAAAAAAGAAAGTTTGTATTACAAGAGAGTTCATAAGACACAATTATCATAAATAAACGTGCTAGAATCAACACCATGTTCTATTTATATAGTTAATATATGAAAAAAATGACGTAGAAAAGCGAGAATAATATGAAAGAGAGAGAGAGAGAGCAAAAAGAACACAGATATGTTGAAGAGATAATGAAGAGAAGACAAAAATATTGGATCATGATATATTTACTCTTTGTCTTAATGTTTGGAAAGTAAATAAAACAGGTGAAGAGAAAAATTGTGTATCTTTAAAGTTATATATAGAAGAATGTTAAAAAGAAATAGTTTTCTTTAAATTGCTATACGAGCATCATGATGATCGGAATGAATAATTGGTTTTGATTCGTCTGTTGTAATTAAACACATTCCAAGATAACGACAGATTAATCGTGGATCGGCTACTTCAATTATAAGATCAGCAAGAACGGGTCCATAGTTTTTAACAAATTCACTACATTTAACATGATCTTTTTCTTAAAATAACAAAAAAAAA